AAGGACGTGAGTGGGCAATTTCATTTTAACTACTATATAGATTATTGAGCATGGTTATATCAGGTTTATTAGATATGCCCACTATTAGAAATTGTTTTATTGTGTTGAGTTGTTGAAAATTGAATGATATTGGGTTTCATGAGCTGTTAGTGATTAGGGATAATCACTATATTTGTTTAATACATGTTGTCTTGTGGGCATATCAAAACTATTAAGCTGTTTTACAAATGGGAAACAAGCCCTTGAAATATGAAGAGATTTTATTCAGTTTTTAAGGATTCAAAACTGTTATGATTTATGCTCTTGTAGAAAGGCCCTAGAATGGCTTATTAAAATATTTCAAAATTCTATCATGATGGAGACTTTGACGATGCTTGAGTGAAATGTTTTAACTATGCCATGCTCATTGATTTATGATTAAAACTTGTTGTTTAATGCTCACGGATTTCATGATTAAATTATTGTGTATACTATTTACATGAGCACATGATTGAAAGTTTATATGCACATTTCGAAATATGATGATTTATGTAACATCCCCAATTTTCTGTGTAAACTAAGTTAACTAAGAATGCTTTATGAAATATATTGAGTCTTGAAGACTTTGATGATATGTAAGTATGCCAAGTGCATGGGAGTATGTATATTGACACTTAGGCAAAATTTTTATGAAAATATGTGGTAAATATTATAGTTTGAAATCTGTGATAAATATTATAGTTTTGAGGTTGTGATTTGAATTTGGTGTTATATTTGAGGAAATATGTACATGAGATATGAGTTTAAATGGTTATGAGAATTGTGATTTAAGCAAGGATAATTTTTAGGTGCTAAGTTTAGATTTTTGGGAGTTTGGAAAGCTACAAAACTGCCTATAGGGAAAAATGTATCAATACATTCCCAAACGTATCGATGCATTCTTGGTAAGATAAGCAATATAAGGAGTACGAAAGCAAAGTATTGATACATTCCTTAAAGTAACAATACATTCCTAGTAAGATGAACATCTATTAATACATTGTCCAAATGTATCAATAAATTTCAAGCAAAGAGCACCTAAAAAGTGCCCAAAGGAAAAAGTATCGATATATTTTCCCATGATCAATACATTTTTGGGCAATGGGCATTTTGCCTAAAACCTATCAATACATTACCTTAATGTATCAATATATTTGGTTAAAACCCATGAAAATGTATCAATGCAGTCCCAAATGTATTGATGCATCACTAGGGAAAAGCAAAAATAAAAAAAGTCTCGGGCTGTCCGCCCATTTAAAACAAAACCTCCCTCTCTTTCTCTAACCCACCAAAACCCTAAGGTTCCAAATGGATTTTTGAGCTTATTTAAGGTAACTTGGAGCTTAGGAAATGCTTTTAGAGGTAAGTTTATGCCTTTTTACATATTAGTTTTCATTTTAATTTGTTAATAATGTAGAAATCCAATTTTTTCAGTTTTGGTGAATCCCCCTCTATTTTGCTGGAATTTGGAATTTAGAATTGTGCAATCCAGTTTCCAAGGTATGGGTTTAGCTCATTATTGAAGAATTTGTGCTTGATTGTTTGATTACTAAGAATCTAGTTATTTTTAGAAAAGTTGGATATTTTCGAAAGCTAGGAATATAATTATTTTGAGATGTTTGTGGTGTTTTGATGTGGTTAAAGGGGATATCGAGTTGAGTAACTCATTGGTGAGTAGAAGGATAGTTAGAGGTGAAAAATCAAAGCTTAGTGGTGGAACATGCCTTCGATTATCATTGTGAGTGGGTTTACTTTAAAATGCATCTAATGCATGACGCATGAAAGATGCACTGCACCGGTACTAGATTTTGTATGTAAGCCTAGATGAAGATGCCTAGGCTAGAGAACCAATAATTTTTATATGACTGTGCGCGTGTGTATATGATTATATGTACTGTGATGTGTTTGCCTTAAAGAAAGCCGTGTATTGACCTATGTTGTAGGAGCGTAGACTAGGAAGTCAAGAAAATGTGATAAGTGTTTAAAAGTATATCACTCTAAATAATTGACCCTTGATGTATTATGAGCCTTTGATGCCATAGAGATTTAAAAACCCGCAGAACCCACCAAGCTTATGATGATTGAAGCTCGTTTTATATGAATTATGATTGATGTGGA